TCACTGGAACCATGGAGATTACGGGTATCACTGAGCGACGCAAATGACGAAGTCTGTGCAGAGTGGACGCAAGCTGTTGCTGTGAGCTGCTCGTCGAGAAACGGCATGGTTGGTGTTGGCGGAGTGATTAAGACCGAGAACGCCGCAACAGGACAGTCGAAGCGGAAGGTTTTCTCCTTCACCCTGGGAGCGCGAACAGAACCCATTCTCAGGCGAATTGGCGGCCATGGCGTATGCGTTGCGTAATCTGCCGCACAGCGAGCATCAGAATATCGCCCTCTTCACGCGCAACAAGGGAGCGGTGGCTGCCCTGAGTCGGCCGTATCAGCAATCAGGACAAGAGTTCATCAAATGCATCTACGACTTGGTAGATCAGCTGATTGGCAAGGCAAACACCATTGCTATAAGATGGGATTCATCGGATAAGAACAAACTATTGCAAGCGGCCAAGATACAAGCAAAGACTGCAACGCAGCAAGGCACGGCACCCGAGGTTCAGTTTCCGCTGATGAAATCCACGACTTTGAACATTGAACGAAGAAAACTTGAAGGTGAACGGTGTTTGCCTGAAGACGTAGGAAAGTTCTCCAAGAGGATTGATGCCGCTCTTCCTGGGAACCACACACGTGAAATTTACGAGGAATGGTCATGGAGGGAGCGCTCAGCGCTTGCCCAATTGAGAACAGGCATGGCAAAACTGAATAGCTATCTCCACCGCATCAAGGCAGTGACTTCTGAACAATGCGCATGCGGGCACGCGAGGGAAACTGTGGAGCATTTTCTCTTCCAATGCCCGCAATGGAACGAACAGCGGAAGAGTTGTGAGCAAGCACGAGCACGAGATGGAATGATTTGTCCCTCCGGTTGGGAGGGAAGTCGGCATCGGACGGAGCGAAATGGCAATCGCGCGTGGGTGCAGTTCGAGCAACGATATGGTTTACACTTGCGACAGGACGCTTTGACAACTGAAAGGAAATCAGCCTGGCTCGACATTTTTGCTACACGTAAGGTAGATCAACTTCCCGTTACACAGCGGTCAGCCTCGACAGACATGGCTTGTGACGCTTCGGTCGCTGAAAGATAGGACTCCGAACACTTGGGGAATTACCCTCAAGCTACTGTAACTAGTCATCTACAACAAACAAAACTATATGCGGACAGTTGGTGGGGAAGGCAGCTGCAAGACGATCAGCAAGAACACGAACAAGGATGAGGAAATGAGGGGAGACAGCCAGAAGTGTACTTAAGCATAGCTAGTGAGCCCTATTGGCTGGAAGCCACCGGGCGTAATAAACAATGAATGAATGTACTACAGTATGTATAGGAACAAAGGCTATCCCAATAACCAAAATGCTATGCCCCTCAACAGCTGGCAACAGATGATGATGGAAAGGTACTGGCCGGTATTCCTAGGCTGGAACGAGCTACCTGTGTACATCCAACTGGTCCTGCTTCTTCTTTGGGCGTTTATGGTGTATGGGCTGTATGTGCTGTATCGTTTGAACCTAGTGCACGAGCAATACCTGAGGCAATCTGCGAACCCTTGCTCGTGTATCTCGTAGGGTCAAGGGTTAACATTGTCTCCTCCCCAAACCGCCATGAATATACGATTCTCTCCAAGAACATATGA